ATAATTATTTTTACTTATAAATATTAATATAAATTAGTTGGAACGAGATGGATTAGTTCTTTTATGTAATCGTTCTATATTTTGATCTAAATAACATCAACAAGCGGTGAGATAATTTGGTGGATGCGCCGGGTAGAATTAAATATACAATTTTTAGTAATTCATTACATTAACTGACGAATTTAACTGTTATAAAATAATGTATGATAGATTATGTTATTCTTATTTTAACTAACGCTACTGTACATATAATTAGTTATGTTTTAATCGCTATTAATAAATTTGTTCGTAAATTTGAGATGCACCTACAGGAATTTTTATCGCTGAGATGAAATATTTTCATTAGCGTAATGGAGTAATCTGTATTTTCTGGTTTGGTATTAAGTCTAAAAATAACGTTAATATTATTTATAACAGCTCGACTTGTGCAATAAACTTAGAAGCGCACGCAAGTTGAAAAATTGCCGCATTTTTTGTAGTTGTCAAGCGTGTGCAAAGCTCAGCTACGATAATAGAAGATCCTACAGCAATACGTTTTATATTTCCGTCATGTTTTCTTCCCGGTTCCCGTAGCCGCGTATTCTTTCGTCATAAATCAGGATTAACCTTGCGTCTGGGTGAAAACCGAGCTACTTAAGCAGGGACCTATCTTCTAAAAAATAATTTATTTATTGCATACGTTATTTTATTTTGTTGTCGTATAAGCAGCTTTGAGTTTGCTTGGGGGTTTTTCGCTTATAATACACAATATGTAATTAATAAGGAGAAAAAATGGATTGGTAAAGCTGTTGTAAATAATATAAAGAATATGGCGTTGAGCTGAGTAGGTACTCCAAAAATTAAGCCATTCTGTATGCAATAGACACATGCAGAGAGCTCAACTGGTTTGTCCACTTATCCAAGGCATTATAATGTGAAGAACTGACACTTTTTCTATCTAGTAGAAGTACCTGATTCACCTGGTCTATTCTACCTCGAATTGTACTAAAGAAAAAAGATAGTTAGCAAATAGTAACTTAAACAAGAATATGTATGCGCAATATCTAAACACTTAAAATTGTTAAATAAGAAAAATGATCATACTTGTCTAGTATACAGGATACCAGTAAACTTTCTACTTCAGTCACATCAATATTAAGTTCTTTTGAAATGTGAGGTATTTGTATTCTTGTATAAGGTTTAATGAGTTTTATAAGAACTTGTGTTCTTATGTTTCTAAGCAAATCTAAAAAAGAAAATGTGAGTAATACATAATACAAGTAAAATAATTGAATATTTTTAAGTCCATACCTTCAATATGTTCACGAATGAAAAGATCATCCATAATATTTTGTCGGTTCTGTTTCAAAATTAATTCAAATTCATTTATATCATTTGTTTGGTAAGCATTAACAAGGTTGGTCATAGCTAATATTTCAGGATCGTTTTTGTAGGGTTTAGCTTCTTGAGAATCAAATGGATTAATTCCAGACTTCATTAGCCTAAAAACCAAGTAAATAATTTTTGATTAATATAAGTTTCTTTNCGTTAGGCGCTACGATATCCTTTTGAGGTTTGTATGATATCCGTGAAAATGATTCTTTAGTCTGACACTAATATTTTTGTCAGTAGCTTACATACCTATACATAATAGTAGCGTGTGTTTCTTTTATATGATACTTTAAAAGAGCACAATTTTCTTGAAAGCATCTTGAGTGTTGCCAGCGTAACAGGCGAGGTATGGCTATGTTTTAAAAATGCAGGGTTGTATCCCTAGCCATAAGAATCCCGGAAACAAGCACACTCTCCTTTTTCTTTTCTCGCGAGGATCGAGATGAAATAGAATGATTTTTCGTCCGAAAATATAAATTGCGAGCTATTATGTGTACTTCTAAACCTTTTGGTACTTTGGTACCTATATTGTTTAAACTTTTATTTAAAACAAACAAATTTCTTTAAGTACCGATTTAATTCACTTAATTTGTACATGTTCGTTGTTATTGCGAAATAGCTGAGAGTATTGTATAAAAAACAATACTCTGATATTTTTACATTTATCCTTAAGGACTAGGATTAGATTTACATTAGTAAAGCCTTAGTCTTGCAACCTAATCGTACATATGTATCTTCCCTATTAAAACATCTAATTAAAAGATGAAACTAATCAACTGTTCTACTGTCAACATCCAGGATGTTATCGTTTAATTACAATTTTTATTAAAAAAACTAATTTAGACCTACTCGAGGTGGAATTAGACAATTACAAAGAAGTACCACACTCTGGATAATCTTACATTTTAATTATTTATTGTAGTCATTAAATTTATAATGTTCGACGTTTAAAGTATATATCGATTATAAAATTACTGAAAATGTCGTCATAATTACTATATAAATGCTGTACACCATTAATAATGGACATGCTCAGATAATTTCTAAATAATATCTTTAAAAGAATGGTAATGGTAATTCTTTCTTGACGTTGGGGGGCCAAGGAACAATTTTCTGGAGTGAATTTTAAAATTATATTGTAGTTGGACGAAAATACCACTGTCGAAAGGCACAGTCCCTCACGTGAAGGCAGTTTTCTGCTTTTTTATTTACGATCGTTGCCATGAAATCGACCGAGCATAATCGGTATTGAGATATACTGCAATCACCAGTATTTTATTGATCGTCGTCTAAAATACGATTTGAAATTCACATAAACATCGCTAATATGTTACCTCTACGTGTCTAGGGTCTTTAGCTGCCTACAGAGAAATATTGTTTGAAAGAAAATATAAATTAAATGGAAATAATGACCGCAAGGATCAATTAAATCCTAAGTAAGCACCCTTGACGTACCTTCACTCCACACGATAAAAAACATCTTGAGTATCAGTAATGAGAAAGTATTTAAAACTACCCAACTGTTCAGCTTTTCATTTAATGAAATTAAAAATGTTGTTGTAATTTATATTTGTATAAAATATAGGTAACTGTAGCTTTATTAGCTCAATTTTAGATGTTAAAATTTAATTAACAACGTATTTATTAGTTATATGAGATGTAAAATATTCAAAATATTATTTTTTTTGATCGTAATTATTTCAAAAGTATGTATTCAAATTTTTATGATACGCCTATGGTGATTATTATATTTATTAGTAGATGCATTTCTATTCGCCATAATAAAAGCGTGGGGGGAACGCGGTTAGCTTTGGAAAGTCGGGAAATTGCAAGCTCAGCCGGCCATTTTATTGTGTAAGAAGTGTTGATCGATAATCTTTACTTACCGAATCGTTATTAAAAGACAATTGTTCGTGTTCCTTTCATTGATTCATCGTGGATTAATCGGTTAATTAATGCGGATAATTATATGGACAATAGGTACTTATTATTGATAGAATATTTTACATTAACGATTGATTAGCGTCACCGCTAGTCTAATTTTTTTGGTTGTGGTTTTTTATTGTCATTTCGCGGTGAGTTTTATTAATTGCAGATATTTATTATCGACATATATGTACATTTGTATAGCCATTTACTGCTGAAGTAATTATATCTTGTTAATTAACAGTTTTTTTTTCAGATGGTGGGGGAAGATTCCAACTTATCAGCAGCCTACTGTGCAAGGTAGGATGTTTTTTTCTCTTATTTATTTATTTATTGCATCAACGTATAACACCCTTTAAACTTTACAAAACATTTATTTTCATTACTCTCTTCCACTTGGCCTCCACTTAATGGTAATA